GGAGGGGGCTTGCGCCCGTCCCCGTCTAGAGAAGCAGAGATGCTGCTTCCCGGTGAAATCGGTGACGGTTTCCCTGCCACACCGGTACCAGCAGCTGCTCGGCCCATTGCTGAGGGGAAAATCTAAGGTGAAAGTCGATTGTTTTAACACTTCGATGCTGTAAACGGTGTTGTCCCAAGGTACCTGCCGGCTTCGCTCCTACCTGAGCATCACAGGGAAGACCTGGAAGCACCGCGCGTGACCACGGGGTTCTAAACCTGATTTTACTCCCGTAGTGTGATTTGTTGTGGGGTGTGTTTCCGAAGATGGGGAGGTTTTCCTGACTGGCTCTCTTATACGTGAATATGAGGTCTTGCCCACCAGCAGTGCTCTGGCAAAGTGAGCAATCGTACCTTTTGTGCACTGTAGCTAGGGGACAAAAGTAACAGGAGGTTTTCTCAGTGTTTGTAGTGCTGCCTTGAAAAATGGACTCTTTGTTTGCAGCTGGTTTGATTCGGGATGCCTGCAGAAGGGAAGTCAACAGATTGCAGAAGGTGTAGGGCTCTGTCATCTGCTCCACTTTTTCTGCTACTCATTTTTTTCCATTCTTTTGTAACCACCAGTGACTGGAAACTCTTGCAGCAGCCCAGAGGCTTCTCTGTCCGGTCCTGGGGAGCTGGAAAACCCCAAGTTTGTTTACCTTCCTAGTCTGCCCAGGCGCTTTCCTGCCCCGGCAGGTTCAGGAATTGCCCTGAAGTCATCCATTCTTCAGACAGATCCTAGCTTGCTTTAGTAGAAGAGACAGGAAATTAAGAGCATTTTGGACATGTCAGGAGAGATTCTTGCTCCTACTTTCAACTTGGGGTGACCCCCTGTAGACAGCCATTTCTCCCTGACAAGTCTTCCTTCCTTTTTTCATTTAAATACAGCTGCGCTGCTCTTGACACTGGGTCTGTAGTTCTCTCTCTGGGAAGAAGGAGCAGCTATATTCTAGCCCAGGGCCCACCAAACCACGTCTCTTCGGCTGGCCATGAGACTAAATCACCATTGGAAGTGACAAAGTGAAAAAGAATATTTTTCAGTACAAGAACGGTTATTGTACTGACATGCTGTGCTGGCGTTATTCTAACATTTGTTTCATCCAGTACGTGTTCTGTGTATTCATTTATTCTCCTTTTTTTTTTTTTTGAAGGCAACCTCTTATTTTGGAGATTGTGGAGGCAGAGCAGCACGTGAGAAAGGTCTGTGAGTGTAAGGAAAGTACACACAACGCAGCTGAGAGCAGAGGTTCCCCACAAGGACTCAATAAAGAGATTTAATTCCTGAAACCAGTCGTCTTCCACTTGTTCTCTGTCTCTCGGCAGGGGCTGTTATTATGGGCTGGAAATGTAATTTAAGGGAGGAGAGCTGAACCTGTGCAAGACCTGCCCAAATCCAGAGAGGATGAGCACCAGCCTTCAGACCAGACCTCAAAGGAGCTTCTTTTAGTAAGGTGGGCTTACATTTGGGTGCTGGATGAAAACTCTAAGTCCTGTCTGTAGAGCTATACAAATAAGATGCTTCTGCCCAGGAAATGTACTTGTCTGCTCACGTGCGGGAAAGGGAATAATACCCTGCGTTTCCTTACCACTTGAGAAAATCTTTCCCAGACCGATCGTCTTATTTCGCCCCTTCAGCTAAAGTGAAACTTCCTGGGGACCATCTCGCCTCGCACGTTGAGCCACGCACTTCTCTCAGCCGTGTCTATCTGCTGTGCAGGTGCCTTACGTAAATATTCTCTCTGCTTTTTTGATCCAGCCTTGCAGCTAATTAATAATTTGTGAGTTTAACTGACAATTAAAAACGAGCTCTAGAATGAATCCCTGTTGTCTGAAGTCTAATGGCCGCACTATTTGAGCAGTGTCTTTGAGTGGAAATGCAAATAAAGATGTAGCAATAACGATGTGACCTTTCTATAGAAAATTCTGATTTCATTTTCGGATATTCAGTCAGCAGGTCTTGGCAAGAAGCGAGCGCTGCTGCTCCTACACCGGTGTGGGTTGTGCTGCAGGAGGAGCCCGCAGGTGAGTTTTAGGCATTGCTGTGTAGGCAAGTTGGGGAGTTTAAGTGCTTGTTACTGATGTTTGTTCTTTCTGTGTGGATAAATGCTTTGTGACCTAAACCAGCTCATCCTTTGAGCTCTTCTCATAGAAGTAAATATCTTAGAAGTGGCGTGTTTCACTTTCCCAAACCTACTTTCCTTTGGTGTAATTCCCTTTGACTAATTGCAGATGATATCAGAACCATCGCTGCGAATTTGCTGTCTGCCCTTCACGTTATTTTCCACGTTGCTGATTCTTAAATGAGCATGGGAACAACTCAGCCTCTCAGGCTGAGAATTAAACCTGCATAATACCTTGGGCATGAATCTAAGCCGACGGGCAGAGAAACCTGCAGCCCTCCGGTTCTGCTTTGTGCTTTCCGCATACCAGAAGAGACTTGGGTTTTCCCCGGTTTTGGGGACTGACAGGTTCCTGCACCCCAGGGCTTGTCTGGGAGAGGGTTGAAGCAGCACGTTACTCCCAATAGCGCGTTTCTTTTAGATTCTAATGAGTTGGAACATAAAATTATGTTGGAGTAAATCATTCCTAGCAGTATCATTTCATGGTCTGTCGTACCCTGTGGGAGTTTTGTGTGCATCTTCCCTGCTCCCCTCACCCCTGCCTCATCGCTTCTCTCCCAAATTAACAGCTGGTTGGGGGGAGAGAGCAGAAGAGAAAAGCCTGTTCTTGTCTTTGTGGATTTGTATGCTCACGGGTAGTTTGGGTGCAGTGTAGGAGCATCCTGTGCAAGGGGAAGCAGACGCTGAGGAATACAGAGCACCGGGTACGGATTTCCTGGGTTTGGCAACAGCGTGGTTTGCTCATAAAATGACAAAAGTTGGCATTTGCAGCGCACCGAGGTGCTGTGGCTGCTTAGTCACAGAGGTTGTGCTTCCCCGTTGTGCTGGGGACTTCCCTCCTGTGCAGGGAAGTGGAATTCTTTACGGTCTGCAAAATAACTATTCTTATCTTTTCCTCTGATCTAATTACAACTGAGGGGTGCGCAGGAAGGCTTAGCGTGTTGTGGTTTCTCTTCCTTTCACTGTGACCTAGCCCGAAGGATGATGCTGAGGGTGTCTGATGCCGTCCCAACCCACGCCGCCTGTCTGCGTTCTGCAGTCCACATCAAACACGGGGCTTGAGCTCTCGGGGTTCGAGATCCCGGCCCAGCGTAAGACCGTGTCCGTACTGTCCTTCCTAAGAGCAGCCAAACAGGTGTGGGGCAGCCACGATTCAAAATAAAACTGCCAGGAGGCGGGGAGCCCTTCCTAAAGCTTTGAGGATTGTCCAGCAAGAAAAACTTCTGGGCGCAGGTTCACACCACCTCTTGCTAGATGCTTAGTGAGAAGATTGGGCCAGTTTGCCCCTTCAGGCCAGTACCAGAACTTGAGGGAAACTAAGTCAAAGCTCTAAAGGCTGGAGAACACTGCTTTTAATGTCTTTTCTAAAAGCTACTGCCTAAATACAGGAGTAAAATTTAAGTTTTTGCTTGCTTGTTTAATGCTTCACAAGACTGGTGGGGGGGAATCTGGGCAGAAGACTCTCCTCCCCCGTGTCCAGTTGCCTCTGTCACGCTGCTAAGCCGTCAGAAATAAGGATACGATTGGGAACAATGACTCTGAATTTAAATGCTGTATCATCCTGCTGCTGCTGTTTTGGTTTTCTGCTGTATGAGACAATAAACGGGGTTCTATTGCAACAGTCTGGCGGTTTCACCTGGTATTTTGGGTAGCATTCACGAGTCATATGCCAAAGGGTTGGCCGATTTCCCTCTGACAGCAGTTACAAAACTCCTATTCCTTGCACAATGGCTTTAGAAAAGAGGAAACATGGTGCGTGTGCACCACGGCTCTGCTTTCGCCCCTTCCACCATGCGTGTCGTTATAGACCTAACACAATCCCCTCGAGCTCACTGTGCTGGAACTTAACTGAGAGAGCAAACTCCTTTTCTTACCTATTTGAAACCTATTATTTTAGAAGTATAATGGAAATCTGCTTGAGATACAGCTGTTAGGTAATATTTCAATTATCTTCTAGGAATGTATATATAAAACTTTACATGCCTGCTAATGTTTAACTAATATTGATAACTCTGCCACCAAAAATGCCGATTATAGATCACTAGTATCCTACGTAAGCATCCTTAGAAGCAAAACGGCAAATGTAACTGGTGCCAGTAAGAATGTTCAGCAAAATAAAAACATTAAGATGAACCCTACAGTGTTAATATTAAAAAAAAAAGAAGCCTGGAAAGCAGCCCAGGCCGGGGGAAGGACTGTGACATTAATACAGTCCCGAGCAATCAAACCGAGGTACCGTTTGCGTTCGGACATGGAAAGTTATGGCAGTAGAATGGTTCGGTGTTGGAGTGATGCTGAAGGCTCCCGAGCAAGAAGTGTTGGTTAACTTCCTCATTCTGGTGGCGGTTGAACTTCTCCCCTGAAGCGGGACCTTGGTTATTTTGCCTCTTTAAAGCTGGTAATTTTTATCTTGATGAGGATTGTAGAATGTGTGATACACAAATCAACCAGGAAGTGCAAGACAAAATTTTAATCATTAAAAGTTTATCGATAACCTCTTATATACACATAGTTATACACAACGTGGTTCACAAGTCCCTCGTCTTGGAGAATTCTGCTGGTGAGGTCGGTTGGCCAAAAGCTTCTCACAGCCGGGGTGTTAACGGGGGTTGACGCCAGCGGGGTTGTTGGCAGGGACGGCCGCTTCCAGGGCTTTTCCGGGCTTCAGCTGGGCACTGAAAGGAGCCCGTACTCATCTGCCGTGTCCAGAATTTTACAGATGACCGGGGACTCCACCTTGAACACAAGAGAGCGAAACATCAAACACTATGAAATCATCGATAAACTTTTGCAAGAGACTGCAACAGAGATGGGGGGGATTAATAACAACAGATTGTGAGGCACGGTACTCGAGCATCGCTTTGCAGAATTTACTGAGTGCTTTTTACTTTTGAGTAGGACCTCTTATAGCCTATTAACAAAGTAACGGGTCACTGGAAGGAAGGAAGGAAGGAAGGGGCCGTTTTAAACATGCACCCGATCTCGGGGAATGCCAGTACGTGTTTACATACCCCAAGGATGTATTGGCACGAATGAGGCTCTAACATGTATATGGTCACAGCGTGAGGGGAATCAGATTCTTTACATCTGAAAGAGAAGTTTTGCAGTGTTTAGCATTTAATAAGCACAAAACTAAAACATTTCTTTCCTTAGCGTCTATACATTTTCCCTAAGGTAAGTGATTGCTTTCTGAGCGTTATGAAGATGACAGAGGCTTTCCCTCCTGACACAGGAAGCAGAGACACAAAGCATCAGTTTACTAAAAAAGTTAACTTACTTCAATTTCACGGTCACCTGCCTTGGCTTGTCTGTTAAGTCGCAAACATCTCCGTTTCCATAGAAGTGAGACACCATCCTGCCACAAAAGATCAGAATGAAAAAGTTTGGAAACTTTAACCAATTCTTAAGCACAGAGCTAACTTGTATGTTAAATATCTGAAGAATGAGGAAATACTGTAACTCCACTATACACACCAAAGTAGTAATATGCTGTATTTCAGTTATTGCAGACGCAAACAGTTGTTCACGATTGGAAGATTTTTCTCTGCGTCATATCTGAAATGTTGAATTACCTTTTCTGATGTTGTACGGTGATTGGGGAGGGGAAAAAAATCAATCTATACGTGCTGCTCTTGGCAGCTTCTTGTATCTATTTGTAGACTGAATATTCACACAGCGCAGAAGTGGGCCCTGGCATTTATTCTCCATCTCAGGTAGCAAGAGCCCTCCAGGAACAGCTAACTGGAGCGGTGACTGTAACCGTACCTCACCGTCTGTGTGCCGTCCTCTCTCAGGTAGTAGGTTCTAGCAGCGTTCTTCCTGGACCACTCGATGTGTTCCTCCTTGCTCCAGGTACCCACGACCACAGAGGTCTTGCCACTTTCCTTATCCTAGAAAAGGAAAAACTGATAATTACCTTGTGTTATAAGATTAGCCGTGAGGATATCTAAAGATGAGCAGATTGTCATTTCTAGAGCAAGTCTGCTGCTGTTAACAGAACACGTTCTTGCGTTTGGGACAAGCTATGGCTGATCTTGTATTAAGGTTCAAGAGTTAAGTTGATGGGCCCCTCAGAACAGCTGCCCGGGCTGTGTGAGCTGACAAACGTGTTTCAGTGACAGCAGAGCATTCCCACAACCACCCCCACGTTTTCAGCTTTGATTATTATCATCTACCTGACACAGTACCTACATCCCCTGCTGAAACTTAGGCAGCACACGGAGGATTTCTTTTCTGAAATCCAACATCTTAAACCCAAGATGTTGATCAGCCAAGCAAAGGAGGCTGCTTTTTCCAAATCCTAGACAGACTCTCTAACCCTGTTTCCCCACAGCCATCTCACGGCAGAACACAGAAGTATTTAAACGTACCTCATGATACTGATGAACATACTTGCCGTAGCAGAATTCGTACTTCCACCAGCCAACACCCTAGGGAGAGGTACCAGCAGCGTTACAACAAAACCCCCAAACCAAACACCCCAAACTGCCCACATCGTTCCCTCTAGGCCCTGAACCACCGGCTGTTTTAGCGGTAAAACTCCGTTATTCAGACACAAGGTTTGCATTGAGAGAATCTCTTATTAGACTAATACACTTAACAGGCATAGGCAAGGGGATTCAGTCTATTCCAAGGTGAGTTTAAGCAAAGAGGATCTGATTTTTTTATGTAGATTCTTGAAAGAGCCACACAGGACTACGTTCCTTAAACTATTTATATGCGCCCTGTTCATTTTTTACAGAAACATTTTCCTCTTTCAAAGCTGGGTAAAACTTCAGCTGTCTTTTCTCTGCTGGCTGTTCTCTCAATAAGTTTTATTAGATTTATTTTTTTTTTCTTCTCTTCCCTTTATCAATGCAGGGAAAGGCAATTATTATGTCTATAAGAATGCAGCTATCAGAGTTCATGGAAAACCCAAACAAATAAAAAAACCCAGTACGTGCAATTAAGGAGTGGCTATTTTATTATGCATAGCGTTATTTCTCACCCCATGGAAGCAGTAGGAACCGCTAAGAAATTCCTTTATAAGCTGCTCATCGGTCAATTTGGAGATGTGGGTTGTTCCCACTGTTAATAGTTGGTGGCTCCCAACAGCAACAGGCTTATGAATGGAAGAAAATTTCTCTTCTTTTGTTGAATGCATTTCTTCCTGAAATTAACATATACACAAATATAAAGTGTAAATGAGCGTATGTATGTCCTTCGCAAAGTCTTATAAACTACATGAAGTTACTTGATACTAAGTGAAATAGACTGTGGGGAGAAGTATGAAAGCATTTTGTCATTGTTTTCAGCCTTCAGCATAGCTGGGGAGAAAAAAAAAAGACTGACAGTCCAAACCTTACCATGTTTGTAAACTGCAGGTAAAGGCAGCTACAAAAGTTTTAAATTAGTAGCCCAAACTACTTGGTTTTCCTTCCAAGTAAGGTAAGTTACTGAATGAAAGAATGACATGGTCTTACAAAGGTGGGTAAGAGAACTGAAAGTTGTGTGTGTTACAACATGGAAAACAAGTGTTTTTGTATTTAAAGTTAAAGAAATCCTACCTCCTTAACCCTTCTAAAAGGCACCTTCATCATTTCTTGCTGTTTCTCCAGCTGTTCCAGGTTATGGGGTTTAAGCGGGGATCCTGGCAGAGACTGGCAAAAGATGTCATTCACGGGGGAAGCCCTGAACCTGTCCAAACAAGTTAGCAACACATCACTACTACACCTCCAAGACAAGACATACTTTTTATTGCTGTAGGTTCCTGACTCCACTGGCCTAAGGGGTGTATTTTTTTTTCCTTAGTCCTCGCGCCACCTCGGCCAAAGCTACCCTGGTCTCGCAACTGATGTCAATACGCTTTTCGCCCAGCATGGTCTCACTCCTAACGCTGCCAGACAACTGCAATCTAATCCCTCTTTGTCAAAAGGAAAAAGCTGCGTATTAAAAGGCAAATTGCAGCGTAGGTGTACCACGGATGTAGTGTCAGTCCGCAAAACCCTCTCAGAAGCTGGGAAATGGCAAAGGTGAAACTTGACAGTTCCTATAGAATTGAAATAATACCTTCTTATATTGGACACGTATGGTGCTTCATGCTGCACGTGTACCCATTATTTACACAAATGAAGGCCTCATTAAAACACCAAACAAGTCTTAACAGAAAACAGTAAAGTGAAGATCAAAATGAAAATCACACTGATAAATGAAGCATTTGTTCAGTTTTCATTGCTTGTCTCATGCAAAAGGTTCCCCTGCGGAGAAAGCTTATTTACAAAACAAATATGCAGATACTGCTTCAGAGGCAAGGTGGCTTTTTGTGATGTCCTCCTAGGAAGAATCTGTAATACCTGTATTATACAGAAGAGTCTGTATAATAACCACCACTGTAGTTAAAAGACTCTGAAAATGTTTCCTAAAGTGTAACGGTACTCTAGATTAAATAAGCCCTGTGCCAAAGCAGCCTAGTTTTATCTGAATTTTATTTAAACAACACTAAGACTAATACAGTAGGCAAACATGACTTTTCACTGCCTTCCTCCCTGTCCCCACTTCCCACCAATTTAAAAAAAACAAAAAGTCAAGCTGTACCCAAATAAGCATGCCAACTAGAACTCATGGATATCCTCTAGCTCCGTCAATGCAAGTGCATTACTGGATGAGATAATGGGCGTAGAGGAAAAGCGCTGTTGCCCGAAGCACCGCTCAGTGCTGTTTCAGGGGACACGTGGCAGGAAAAGCGCACTTAACTTAAAATGAGGGTGGTTTGCGACAGCGAGCAGCGCTTCCAGCCTGCTGTCTCCACCTGTCTTTATTTACTAAGGTGATGTAAGTGGGAGAATAAAGATCTTGTATGTTTATTTTAAGCATTTCCTGCTAGTGGCCAGGAAGCCTTCCATGCCTCCCCTTTGGAAGGAGGGAACAGCTCAAGATTTTATTCTTATCAAGTGACAGAACAATTTGCCAGTGCACTTTCTGTTCTTCTGCTGATACAGAGGCTTAAAAGACTCTGCTGCCTACTTCAGAACAGCGATTAAATACGCACTTGTTCTGACGTCTGCATTTAGGGGAAATTAAAGAACTCCTGTCCATTATTTCCCCTTTAATTTGTACGTCGTGCACTTTGCAATTCTGTTTACACCTCTTGAAAGGTCAAAAGTCTGCAGTATTCAGACTAAGGATATCCCTTAGATGCATGGTACAATTTGGGGCAGGGGGAAAGAATCCTGAACTTGACTTTTGGAAAACAACACTGAAATTGTGAATCCTTCATATGAAAATGACTTAGCTGAAGGTAAAGTAATAAAGCAGGACAGAGACAGACTGGAGCTCCTTCAGGTGGGAGTACTGCTAAAATAAATATTCAGGTGACGGCTGAAGAAGACCACGCTTTTGTTTTCTGAAATGAGAGAAGTTGGTCTACGCACACATGTAACGCACATATACAGTGTACAGTCTTTGAGCGCCATGAAGATGATCCCCCAAAAACTGGAAATCATAAACTACGAGGAGACAGGGTGTTCTTCATCTGCCAGCAGCCTTGATGCCCTAGTCTGTGCTCCTCCAGAATGACAGGGCTAGAGACTGACCTGTTGAAAATAAAATGAAACTTCCCATCTGCTTCTCATAGGGGATCAGTCAGAAGAGACTTACAAAATGCAAATTAACACAAAAACTTAAAACTTGGCAAAACTTCCCTTGCCCAAGTAAATACAAGTGCCACAGCTCTGTACCAGACACCACAGCTGTCTTACATAAACACACACATGGAAACTGATAACAATTTGAAAGGATAACGTTAGCCAGAATGTGAGAACCGTACCTATATTTAGGATGGTTGCACAACAGAGGTGTCAATATAACCACTTCATATTCACAGGTTGTAACTTCTGCTACTGAAAGAATCTCATGTTTAGCTTCTGGATGACAGATGTACATCACTGTACTTGATCTGGGTAGGTTTTGTCTCAAGCTACAAGGCGTGCCGTTTCCCATTTCTACAGGATAGTATGGGGTCATCTGCCCTTCTATATTTTTTGTAGGTATCTAGGTGAAAGAAAATAAAAGTTAAGAATCACAGCAAAGCTCCTTCAACAACTCCCCTGAAACGAAAAACACTATGACACTATGCAGAGCCAGCACTACTGGATCGAAACCAGCCCGAGTAGTTACGTGGTGTTTCTGCAACACCCAGACACGTTCCGGTTGATCACCTCCTGCGCAGCACTGCACAAACGCACTGAGCGGCGCGAGCTCGCGCTGCAAAAGCGGCTGGTTCTCTGCACTGCCTGCCTGACATTTCGGTTCTAAGAAAGCTTGCCAGCTGTGTGCAATGTTTTGGAAGAGCACCGCGCCAGCTGTGCTCACCCTGTCGGCTAGGAGACGGGGAGATGCGAGTACCTCTGCCAGTCGCGGCTCAGGTCTGGCCAGCCACGTTACCTCCACTTCAGTGCCAGGCAACGAAGGATCTAAAAACGCCGCTGCAAAGTCATCCCGATACCTGCACTATCTCAGCATGCCCAGCCCAGGTTGTTCCGTATGCAGAGCATCCAATGCCCTCTGTTATACTGGCTAACAGACACTTAATGCTATAAACCAGGTAAACCCCACTTTGGTACGCACTGCAAGCTTGCTCTCTTCAGGCCTGTTCCCTCATGTGTTTCAACCAGCTTCCACTTTAAGAAATTAATTCCCCAAACTGGTAAAAGCCCCTCTCTCCTGGCTCCTGTCTTGGAAGCAGCTAAAGTTCTTGGGTACCAAAAGTTCTGGCTGTGCAAAAGCCGTGCTACAAACCCACAAACTAGACCTTTTTCCACCCGTGTTGCTGGAGCGAGTAAAGGTTTACAGCGCACAACAAACCGGGCTCTGTGCGAAAAGGCCGTGGTGCCTTCTGTGGTCAGGACACTAACCCGGGGATCTGGGACCCTTTTATGTCTTTTACCTACTTCAGTTTTCAAACCATTTACCCTATCACAGGCCACCAACTCTCTCCTGAAAACTGTTCCATCATGAATGAAGCGATGGGACATTCATGAGGTTAAAGAATGAACGTGCCGGCAGCTTAATTGCTGAGGTGCTCCCTGGCTTCCACTTACCCGCACTATACTTCAGTATAGGGTACCAGTGCCTTCCCTTTCTATCCTTCTGAATGAAACAACCGATTTTTTCCTTAAATAATTGAAAAAAAATATGCCTACGCATTTCATCGAAGGTAACTATTCGAGAAATCTAACTGCAGATAGCTGTTCTTGGCACACAACTGAGCAGCACCCCAGCAGGACTTCAGATAAATCTCTAGTCCAGAAGTTGTTGGTTACTTTAAGCACCAACCAGCTGTGTGACGTGTCCTTTCCCTTTCATGACAAGAGATTCCACGCAAATTGCAAATCTAAGTTCTTTATGGACTGAAACCAAGACAGTGCATGTACACCACAAATACTGTCAAAAAAAAAAAAAGTCAGTAAAAGCCTTAACTTCCTCTGAAATAATAATAAAAAGTGACACTACAAAGAACCTAATTTTCTTTAATTTCCAAGAGGCATAACTGCCATTAGAATGGGCCACATTCTGACTTGGGTCTGCTCCTCCAGCCACCTCCAAAATGCTTAATTGGGCACATGTATTTTCTGAGATCCACTGCAGAAGAAGAACCACTCTGTGCTATGTAAATTGGCATTACAAAGAACACGTAGACAGAAATTTCCTTTCAGAATTAAAATGAAGGGTAACACAAAATAAGGCAGGCCAGCTATTGCTAATTCCAAATTCCAACGTGCTTCAGGTACTTACATTGTTTCGCTATAAAATTAGTAACTCAGAACTGAGTTTTGGGGCCTAAACAAAGGGAAAAGTTCCCTAATGGAAAAGGGAAGCACAGAGTTTTATGGGACGGGCCATCAAGTCAGCTGAGAAATCTTTGAGGGATTTTGTGCTGCAGGTTTTTGTTGAGCATTTCTTCTTACCCAAAATGCATGGAAGTGTCATTAAGGGAATTGGGATCTCCGGGGTAGCTGGAAAAATAACTGTCGCTAGACCATAATATGTGACTTTGTGGTTATGTGTACTGTCTTCATAGAGGGAGAATATATAATTCATCTCATTTAAGATTCACATAACTTTAATGTAAGGAAGTGGAAGGGCAAGAAATTTGACTAACTAAACTAAAGCAGCTTTTTGAGGTGGGACTGATAATCAAAAGTGAGAAGAGTGCAGCTCAGGAACCGAGTTTCATTTTTTGATACTCATTTTGGGAGGGAACTAATTACATAATCTCATCATATATAAATTGCCTCCACTATTGACGGCAAAAGTTAAAATAGATTGTTTTCACTTGCCTCTTTTGCACTCTCTTTTGGATTTTCCTTCTCTTCTTGATCTAGGGAATAATTAAGAATGAGGTAAGCACAACGTCTGTGAACTTGAAATAAAACGAAATTATATACCGAGAAGTTTGCACGTTTTGTGTATTTGCTAGTACTTTGCGTATAAACTGCCGAGAGTCAATTTCATGAACTTGCAGGTGCAAAAGAGGAAAGAAAAGAAATAAACAGTGACCTGGGGTCCAGAGCAAACAGAACAAAATATGAGTTAGCATTGTCCTGAAATTATTTCGAGTTTGTATGACATGCCAAATCCAGTCCTAGCCCCACAGGACGGCCGGTCAGGGCAGAACGTGTCACTGCTGCTGTTCTGCGAGGGGTACCTGACTACTCTCTTCAAAGGGAGCGAATTACAGGCTGGGACAGTAAGCAGGCGAGTACGTCAGCCCACCCGCCAGCCAGCCTCGGAGGGGACACTCGAAGGAAGAGGCAAGGCCGGACTGCGAGAGTGAACGGCATTACGGGGCAGGGGTTGCAAGTTGTCAGGTGAGAGCTGTCCTTAGCCTTCCAAACTGCTTCAGGAAATAAATAGTCCGGACTCCGTTCAGAATTAGGCGAGCAAAAGGCCACTCTGCTCTGCTGTCACTCGCTCAGCTGTTCCGAGTTTACTGTATCACGATTGTAGATTCAGCTCACAACCATCTACGTTATTTTTTAAGAAGTAGCGTGAATTGTTGTATAGGAAGCATAGAAAGAATACAGTCTGCCACCTCAGCAGAGAGGACAGAGGGTGAACATCCTTTCAACTCAGATACGATGACTTGAAGTATCATCACACGTAACTTCAGCATCAAGCCCCACAAAAGAATTGGTAACGCAAATTAAACGCTTTGTTTTCTGTACTGCAGCATCTAGGGAGAATTAGGCATCTCTGCACAGGATTAACGACAGCACAAACAAGCACTGTAACTCACTAATAAAGACATGCCAAACAATGCAGTTTCTGAAGCCGTGTCTCTTTTCAGATAGCTAACTGAAAACCGCAGGTAGGAATTCAAAGGAATGGGATTAATAGCACTAAATCCCCTCCAAGACTGAGGCGTTCAAGTTAATCGCTTTTAGGAAGAGAAAAAAAGTGGTGCCCACCTTTTACATACTAGCCTAGAATTAAAAAAAAAAAAAAAAAAGAAAAATTGATGGTTTTTCTATTGTTTCTATCAACTCTGTTGAATGAATGCTTACTCTGTGGATTTTTAAGAGTTCTTTGGACAAACATACTACCAAAGTGCTCACCCAGGAAAGCGGATATTGGCCAGTGCGACCACAGAACTTCCAGCCTCTACTATAATTAACAGGCAAAAAATGCAAGTGCTCAGAAGGTTAGTTATTCTAAACTGCAGTTTGAGGTTGGGGCTCAGCTGCCTCATTTACACCAAAGTCCCACTTTAGGCACTTCGGTATTTCTGAAGGTCTGCACCAGAATACCTAAAAAATAATAATAAAAACACTCAACAAAAACCCCAACTCTCCAACAGTTCCGAGCATCAAATCTACCTGCAAAGGCTTTAACTCTTTGGGTTTGCAGACTCTGTTTTATTACAGAATAGCAAAGCCCAAGAGGTGCTACACACTCTGCCCTCTGCTGACAGTTTGAAAAACACTTCTCTCCACCCAAAAAAAACCCCAAAAAACAACCCAAAAAACAAGAGTGGCAACAGGCTACATTATCAAAGTCTGGTCTGTCAGATATTGGTCCCATTTCTTGTGTTGTCTATTTTCTTTCCCTGACCACCAATTACTGCAAATTAGTGAATCCCATCAATTAGACAGCATGGCAAAAGTATGTGCAGTGCTAAAAGGAATTCATTGAAAACGAGACATTTTGGAAAAAATGAGTAATACACAAAATTCTACTCTATTGCACTGGGAATCAGTTTTATACAGCTTATTTCTCAAACAGTAATAATTAAACCCCAAACAATTAATTAGCATCAGCAAAATAAAATAATCTAAGACAAACCTGGTTCTGATAATGGGTTCTTTATCATCATATTCCCCAGATAGTATTCTTGGATGTTTATTTTCTACAATCAAAAGAAGTTAAAGGAAATTTCAGTTACCAGTTTCCATACTTTTTCAAGAGTACAGAAATTCAAGTCTTCTAGAGGAGTTAAGCACGACCGTGCCAGTGGAAGAGGGGGTTGAGACTACTAAATTGCAAGAAGCTTACCTGTCCAGTTTCCTTCTCCTCGTGATATTGGCGGATGTGTTTTCCGTGGCAGACCTCGTAAGTCCAGTAAGATTCAATCTTAAAAAAAAAACCCCACATATATATAAACATTAAAAAAAAAAAAATCATCTGTTTAGATACATTACCCCCCAAAAAAAAAAATTCCCCCAGAATTTCGGCTTTTGCAGCAATGAAATGCTGCACAGCACAGTGAATGGTCAAATGTTCCCCAAGCATTTTGATGATGTTCCAAATAAACACACCAGGCAAAGTTACCTCAAATTTCACACAGGTAAATGGAAAAAAAAAAAAAAAAAAAAAAAAGACTAAATTTGCCCCCAAACCACTGGGGCTCAGCTGTAGTGACCCAGCACAGACTGGTTTTGGCAGGTGCTGTAGATACAGGCAGTTCACCAGTTGCGCCTGACGCACTCTTCAGTCCTCAAGGACCCATGTGGGATGTTACGTAGGCATAATATTTGGCCGCTTTTGCTCTCTCTGGCTCCCAGTACCACCTCGTTTGGTATTAGGCTTGTTCTTGTAATGTAAGACATGAATCTTTGCATTGGGATGACAGTTGATGAGAAATTGGAAAACTGTCAGAATACCTAGAAGACTGTTTGGTTTGGTCTTCTCACACTTTCTGATAAACACTTTTCGTTAAGGCTGTCACACATTATGGCTTGACTCCTGGAAGTAAGTGTTTTAAATTGCTACTATAGCAACCCAATTTATTTGAATCCTGAGATCCACACTAAAGACTACTACTACTACACTAAATCTTGAAATGGACTGCATTATAAAATTTTGATTAGTATATAAATTAACAGAGAAGTAACATACTCTATATGAACAGCTACTCTGCTTAAAAAGAGGTTCCAGCAATTCTCCTGGAGTAGGTCCTTTATAGTCCTTTTCTTCTTCCTAGAATAGAAGGAGATTTCATTACGTTAAAATTAACAGTAGCTTGGCTAGTTAATATTTATTTGCAACAGTAAAAAAGAAAATAAAAATCTTATCGCAAAATTAAAAGATACAAAACCTCATTAATTCCTGCCCTGAAGGAGCTGTGCAGTGATTAGGAAAAAAAAAAAAAAAAAGAAAAGATAATTTAGTTTAGTAAGAAGGGGCAAATAAAAGTCACAAATAAAGTAGTCAGAAAAGTTTTGTGGTTTAAAAAATACACACGTGGCAAAAGAGTAGGAGCTCTCAACTTGCTCACGTCCAGAATGGCAGCTTGGGGCGTGCACAGGAAAACAGCATCAACAATCTTGTCATTTGTTAGTCAACGCTGATGCCATACTGATGTAGTATAATTGGAACATCACCCAGCTTTTACATACTTAAAAAAAAAAAAGGGTCAAAAAAGCATACATAATACTGTGGAAGTTTATTTCCGTGTATTTTTTGCTCTATAAATGTGCATGCTCTTGAAGAGATTTCCACACAAAGTTCTTCAGTACTAAAGATTTCTCACCTACACAGAAGCACTGCGTACTGTCAGTCACTTAAGTCAAAATGGAGTTCCCTGCCACAGGAGTACAGCTCGTCTGGGCAACTCCTGCAGCGTGGAAAAGTGAACTGCTGGAGGAACAAATGACCAGTGATAAACCTCACCACAGGCCTCCTCGATCTACCTTCTTTTGTACAAACAAATATATATATATTTAATTTAAACTCCAAATTGTGCATTCAGATTTCCAACTGAGGAAGCAATGACAGAGAATAAAAATCACTGGTGGGAGAAGCACTGCTGGGATAGTATTTTCAGATATAGCAACCATGATAGCAGTGTTAACAACTTTTATAGTTGCTTACTAGCCTAGAACTTGACAATGCTACTGAAAATACAAGAATTTCCCAATCAGTGATAGGCCTAGCAATAAGCAGAACATTATAGCAACCGTTTCTTGCCAAATAAGGACTCTGAGATTGTTCAGACCAAGCCCGCTTAGTATAGAGCTAGTATGTAACACAAAGTGAAGGCATCCACCATAAACTGTGAAATTGTGAAGCACTCTGTAGATGATTTTCCTTCTGCAGGGGAAAAAAGGTCTTTATTTTGGAAAAAAAAAGAGGAATTGAAAAGACGCTGTAAAGACTTGTCGATGGTTTATAATTACAAAAAAAAGACTTGACTGAACTTACCTCATTGCCACTTGCTATCAGCGGAAGTATACATTTATATTTTTCTTTATCCACAGTGGTCATTATAATGTAGTTATCCTCTTTGTACAGGACACCAGTCGTAGGCTAAGAAAACAATCAACCTATGGATTAGTCGGGTGGGTTTTTTTCATGCTACTTGTTAGAAATATTCCTCAATTCATGAGCGGTACAGTTAGTTTATAGGGCAGGTGGTCCAGAGCATATCCTGGCTCTTAATTATACCACAAGAGCGGGCTTTAGCGTTCCAGCCTTTAGTGGCTCGCTCGTATTTTCTCATCTTTTCCTTTCCTTTGATCCTTCCACCTCCGGCCACACTCCTGCTCTCCTCCATGCTCACCTCACACCTGCTTACCTCCTTCTGGTTCTTACAAAAGACCTTTACTAAAGAAAACGCCCCCCCCCCCAATCATTACACCTGCAACCAGCCATTCCAACCTTGACTTTTAGGCCAGATTTCCCTGGGGTTTTCCCAGCTGCCAGACTCAGGCCAAGGCCTAACGCTCGCCCTTGGGCCCGGTGCGTGGGTACGGACGTATTGCTGG